TCCGGGCCGCCGCGAAGACCTGCAGTGGCACGTACCTTCTTCGCTGGCCTTTCTGCCTCGGCGTGCGTCAGCTTGCGAGTTGGGACAATCATCTCCAACGCAACAGCAAGAGAAGACCAAACGGCAACACAAGCAATATGCACGCACCAGGGAAGTGCAACAAAAGATCGAGAAGACAAGACACTGCAGCAGCCAGGCAAAGCTGCAGACTCATGCAAGGCGAAGTTGGTGACGGTTCATGTGCTAGTTAGGGTTTGTGGCACGCGCTGGCCTAAGGCCCAACCCACCCCAGCGCGACCCGACCCAGCCCGGTGGCGGCAGCAGAAGACCATGCGGTTCCATCTCCTGGTCTTTGCCGTCCATGCTCATGAGCGAAGCGTGTTTCAGCCCGAGAGCTCGGCGGAGTTGCTCGCTGCCGACCGCTCTGAGACACACAGGCAGGTCATCGTCTATAAACGAATTCAGCGCGCGAAACACCTCGGTGGCGGCGCGGAAAACCTCAGCGGAAGTCCCCCAGCCATGGCGACGCAGGGCGGTGCTATTTTGAAAAGCTTTCGAGTCTCGAGCGAGCGACATGTCACTCCGTGCAACACGTTGCACTACACGACAAAAACCAGATAGCAGTATTTAGGAAAAATCTGACCACATGCAAGAATCTTTCCCACTGTGTCTTGAGTGGGCCGTGCTCCAAACCCACACGATTGTGCATCAAATAGTTCCTCCCTGATTCCTGATCTCGAAGGACTGAGAACTGAGAAGAAGGATTCCGGAACACATTTCGCCGAAGTCCAGCAAAGACGTAAAGTCTGTTCCAGACTGGCCTGCGGCTTCTCAGCCGCTGACGAGCGCACTAGGACTGGTTGCCTCGTGTAGTAGCCATCGCTGCACGACTCTCCGCGTGCGGAAGCCACCCCAAGCGACCGCACAGCAAGCTTCTTGCATTATGGTAGTGATGCCTTCCACAACTATCTTGATTGTGATGCCTCCACGACGTTTTTACAAAGGTTTTGCGAGCTTCCGAGCCACCCCTCAATTTCCCAGTCGTTGATATACTTTGAACTGGAATCTTCATCTTTGCACATGCCTCCCATCGAACAGCACTGCTTACAGGGAGGTCCAATGTCATCTTCTGCGCCGCAGCGGAGTCCTGCAGAGTCTCGATGCTCTTCCACCTCGATGCAGGCAAGCGACAGTCTGCCATGCTGCATGAGACGTGTTTTGGCTTGCATCGTAAGGCGCTCGTCAGGATTCCACGGCACAATTCTCGATGCTGCGCCGTCCATGACCTGCTTGGAGCTGATCCGTAAAGCTACACCGCTGCCACTACTAGCTGCAGCCGACTATTTACCCGCATGTGGCCGACTTGGCACTAGCTTTGTTGTCCTACGACCCGGCAAGAGTTGCTGGTCTCCACACAAGGTTTTACGGGTGGCGAAAGCTCTCAAAGCAGATTGACGGTTGCCAACGGTAAACGACGCACTTCACTGCATTACTATTACTTGGCTCTTCTGGAGACGGTCCTTAACTGCTCCCAACCGAACAAAAACTGTCTTCCTGTAGCAAGAACTCCTGAACTGAGATCACCATGTGTTCACGTCAAAATGCCCATCCGCCCGTGAAAACCTGGGTGTGATCAAACGGCATCAGCCTGATAACAAGTGGCCCATGAAACTCGAAAAAGCTCTATGGAAGCTGTGGGGATACTGTATGCAGCAACTGCCAGCACAGTGGCCACTGATAAACGGAACACCTGCATGCAGTGGCCAATCCTGTGAAGGGAAACAGCAGGGCCTGCTGCAGCATCCGTTCCGTGAGGATGGCACCACGAGCCTCAGCATGGGGCAAGTTTCCTCCATGCAGTTCCTGGCCCATCACGCTGCAACTTCTTGCCAGGGAACCTCCGCAGTCCAAGAACGACTCGGCCGACCATCCCAACCTGTCTGAGAAGATGGCAGCTCGCACTCATGCAGAACAATTGCATCGAGACTTCCAGAATGGTGCGACCTCGAGTGGAATGTTCGTGCAGGACCACACAGCACCAACTGAAACTGTGTAACGCAGCCAGGTCTGCCAGTCGCTAACTTTCATCATTACACAAATTGTCACAGATACATGCTGCGCATCCGATCCGTCTTAAACGGAACCGGGTTTTGGCCGAAAGTCGTTGGTCCGTCAGTTCTGGATATTGCTGATACTTGCTACAATCTGTCTGAACCAATCTATGACCTCGTTACTCGCTTGACGACACTTGCAAACACACAGCCAGCCATTCAGCGAGTCATTCTGGTTGGTTTCGGTTCGGGCTCGCATTGCTCTACTGCATTTTCTGCAGATGACAAGCTGTTCGTCCCGTCAAGGAGTCGAATCATTTGCCTGCAAATGACACAGGTCGCAGGACATCAGAACCACGGCAAGCCTGAACAGTCGGCGAATAACGTGCCTATCCCCGGCTGTTGTTTGCGAGACAAGCCGAAACAAAGACCCAGCACCACTGGTAAAATGGACTGAGGCCCCCGCCAAAGCAGCCACATCGCCTAGGATGGCTTTTCACCTATAAAGATCCCAACGCACTTCAATGCCGCTGCACATGTGCGACCACGAGACAGAAAGAATGGAATCTGCTTGGCCATGAGGGAGACCGAAAAGATACACCGGAATGTTTCGGCTAGGCACTGCGGCTGGTGTGTAGATATGGGTAGATGTTCAGACAGAAGCATTCCATCTATAGAAATACGAATCCCACTGCTGGCCAATGCGTTTCTGTCACTGACGCCGTGATGGTGGTTCAGGGCATGCACAACAGTGAGGTCCTGGCTTCTGATCCCATCCTAACTGGAAGCATACAGCTGCAGAAGTAGAAGTCAACAAACGTGCGGCGGTGACGACCTGATGGTTGAATCACAGTGATTCTGGTAACGAAGGCAGGGGAGGTATGCAATGTCTCGCCACGTACAAAAGACCATCTTTTGCCTGCCGAAGCATCCACCTCCTCAGCATCTCTACCGAGCATTCCAGTCATGATGCATCGTCTTGTCAGACACTTCTGAATTGGGGCATCTTGCCACCGAAACATCAGACATCCATCATCATGGATGGCACAAACACTTCACAGTTAGAGATGTAAACCGACTGTCACCAGGCTTCGTGTGTGAAAATGCAAAAAGAACTCTCTTGGACTGCATCCAGAACTGCTTCAACGGCTCAGATTACCCAAGTGTCGCTTTGCTGCCAGCTCAGAACAATGCACAAGTGTCTCTGAAACAATAGTTGAAGAAGGAATACATCTCTAGCTGACCTATCTACCGCCAACTCAGCCACGGCCATGCCTACTGCAAGAAAACCGCCAGTGGCCTTCAGTGGCACGAAGAAACTCTCAGGGTGTCCATGCAAAAGGCATCTCTGCTGACACGCAGGTGGCTGCAACGCAACTTGATGGTGCCTCCAATTCTTTAAACTGGGGGCAAAGCTGCAACTCAGCACTTGCTGATGCCAGCTGCATCGCAGCCTTGCAACACGAAACCGAAAACAGGATACCAGTAGGGAGAAGAAAGGAAGAAGGCGAACACGAGAGAGAGAGAGAGAGAGAGAGAGAGAGAGAGATTGAGAGCGAGATTGAGAGCGCGAGAGGGGTTTGAGCGAGAACAAAGAAAACAATCTCTGATCGTTCAGGCAGGGGGGCGGCGCCAAGAACTGGCTTCAGGGCTGCTTTCGCAGCTGACTGCAGCTCGGGGACCTCGCCCAGAGCAGAGAGGCAGAGGTACTCTGTGCAGAATCCTTGATGTCTCTGTCGCTCCGGCTTCTGTTCTGAGCTCATGCGAGGCACGTCTGGCGCCAGTCCGGCTGCTGCACCGGGGAGGTCAGTGTTCTGGAGCTTGTTGAAGGAGACTTCATACCTTGCTGGCCCCCATTTTTGAATGCTATCTTAAGGATCAGCTCCAGGATACCGGGCTACCGACTCCTGACCTGCACCTCCATTCTCCAAAAATTCGTCATCGGATCCTGGGTCAAACCGGAAGCATGCTCCAAGAACAAGAAGCTTGAGCATGTCGGAGAGTGGGGCAAGGCCGGGACCCTCGTCGCCGTTCAACTTCGACTTGTTGTTCGACGAGGACAGGCCCAATCTTGCAGACATGCCAGTCGTCAACAGCCCTGAACCCTGTCAGTTCTGCCGGGTCGCAAGTGAACGAGGCCAACAGCACAAGCCCCAACCAGCTGCGTGTTCCTCAGCGACTGCTGCTCCCTTTCTGACCCTGGGGCATTGACTTCCAGAATATCTGAGAAACCGCACTGTCTCATCTCATCTAAAGACAGTAGTCGGGCTACTGCCATAACGCACACCTGCGTAGCTAACAAAGCTTGCCCAGCATCAGCATGAACACAGTGGCAGAAGAGTTCGTTTAGCCTTGCGTTCGTCCGTTTTCAGCGGCATCTTCAGCACGGGTGGCCAAACATTGAGCACAAGGTTGCTAAGCAGGCCAGCCTGTGCATGCGCGACGTTCCATCCAGAGCATGGACGCTGCTTCCACTCTGAGTCTATATAAGTCATAATAGGATGCCGATCGCAACACGATCTTTCTACAGTTTCAACGTTACAGCTCCTGCCGGCGAATGACATCCAGCCTGAATCTCATTGAAGAGTGGTATTACTGACTGGTTCTTGTGGATGCAAAGCCTCAGCCGCAATGAGAGCAAGGGCATGCAGTTTCTCCAGCAACCCGGGCACCCCAGCACGGTGACCAGAAATGCGAACGAAGGAGAAAGAGTGGCCGGGGGACACGGGATGTCCGATAACGTGGAGCCAACCTATCTCCCCAAGCGAAGAGACAGGATGGACAAGGGAAGACAGGGAAAGACAGGTTCTGCACCCTGTTGCACAGGCCGGGACGAACAGTGATAAATAGACGGGTAGCACCCCTCTGTACCCCGTGGGGGGAAACACGAAATATGCCCACAATCACCACCACGAGCGATAGAAGTGAAAATGCGCAAGGTGCAGGAAAAAGGCAACAACAGTACATTTCTCGCAAACACCAGAAAAACCCAAAACATCAGAAAACTGAGTCAGCAGCAAGAAAGCAAGCTAGAACACTTGTAAAACCGCACAGAACCAGAGGACCATTCAGCAGCATTCACAAAACAAGAAAGCAAGAGTCAGTCACACCAAAGCTAGAGCCACATTACATTCCTCCCGCCCCTTTGCTAAGAGCTGTCTTGCCTCCCAAAATCAAAAAAAAAACACCCCCCCCCCCTCCCCCTTTCCCCCCTCTCCCGCTCCTCCTCCCCCCTCTGCCTCCATCCTCCTGAAACATAAGAGACATCTCCCACTCACGAGACGCATTGTGTGTCTGAGGCCTGAGCGAGCACGAGACAACAAAGTCGCGCTTGAACTTTGGTGACTTGCTGCTTTGAAGTCTAGTCAACCTAAGCCACTCAAACATGCTAACGGGAAAGACTTCATTTCATCGCAAGGCCGGCACAAAACGGTCATCAGAGTCTTGAGAAACTGCTGGTAAAACTCAATCGGCAGATACTGGTATATCGCGTTCAGCCTGGGTGTATCAGCTGCTTCCTGGCACATGACCCATTCCGTACCCTGCAACACAACGTCGTCCCAGGCTGCAGACAGGTCCAGTGCTGCCACCTGACCATCGCAGACACTCATTTACTTTCTGGGCCAGTTCGATGCTCCGCAAAACGATACCTGGTGCAACTTTGTAAATGTCACAGACGTCAGAGGACTGCCGACTGCGAAGTGCTGCAAGCACACGTTGGCACTTGCAGGCCTCGGTCTTCCGATTCATGAGAACGAATTGGAACCGTTCAAGGATCGCCTGAAACAACGGAAAAGCTGTCAGCTAGTCACAGCTAGTCACAGCTAGTCGGCTAACATGCTGCATGTTAGCATCCCCTGCACCTGCATGTGCGTCTTCAGCAGCTCGGCAAAACTAGCATGTTTTGCAAAGTATGCACCTCAGCGGATGCACATGCGCTCATCTCACGGCTCGCAGCCACTGAGTCGCCAAGGCTGCAACGCAGAAGTCTAATCAGACCCGGCACATTTGCCTTTCTGCAAAAGCTTTTCTGCTAGCCTCTTGTCATCTCTTGATATCTCGTGTAAGTTGTAGCATAACAAGCGAGCGTGCACAATTGAACTGATGCGAAGAGCAATGGAACTGCCGATGCACGAACCTTGCTCCATTGCAGACCCCACCCCACGACAGTGGCACTTTGTCGATAAAGCATTGCAGCAGTGAAGCACCTCTCCACATTTGGGCAAGCCAAGAACGAAGCCGATCTAGCAAGCTCCATGAAGTTGGAAACTTGCCAGTGCGAGAACAACCCTCTGCTTCCCGTCTTGCGCTGAAAAGTGTTGAGCTCGTTGGTTCTCTCGCCACATGCAGAGCCAAACATAAGCAACTCGCCTGGGAACGCCAAAGCTCCGGGTTCAAGAGCCTGGGCTCTGCGCAGAGGACAGCGAGGAATCTCCCTCCCCGGCTTCAGTCAGTCGGGATAGACTGCGACATTGCCATTCTATCTGAATGATCCGATTGCCGTCCTTCACCAAAGCCTCAGTGCCTAGCCTTGCAAAAAGCTCTGTGTAGAGTGGCTTGATGCTCGGGGAAGCCTTGGCACAGAAGAGCGGATCTGCACGAAATGCTTCTCATACCCTCCACCGAGGTTGCAGCATCAAGCAGCAAGCCCATAATCTGAAAAGTATACCTCAAAGTCTCCAACGCAAACAACACGTGCCACGCAGTGCAGGCATCATGTGAATCATGTATCAAGCGAGCAGACCCCTTTTAAAGGCAGCGAAAGACTGTGCTTCGTGCGGAAGGAAATCCACCACATTCCTTTCCTGTGCAGCAGGCCGTCCCAATAATAAGCTAGAGGAGCTGGCAACGAGGGCATGTATTGTTCTCAGTTCCACGCAAGAATCTGCCCGAAGGTGGGCAGCAGTGCGCTTTCCACCTCAGAAGCACTGGAAATCCACGGTGCAAGGATACGCAAAATTGCCGAGAGTTTTGGGGGAGCCGGGGGCTCTGGCAGCATCAGGCTGCGCAGGTACACAAACCTTCACAATCGAGGCGACTGCCTGGCACGAGAAATGCGTGATTTCTGAGCAAAGCCGTTGTTATGAAGGACACTGGCCTCAAAGAGATGATGATTGAAAACAGGATTTGAAGGATTTGCTGACATGGCCAAGAGGATGGCCGACAGCGGACTCAGCCTTAGCAGGGGCGACAACAACACAACGCGTCATGAGACCTTCAACTTGGTAGTGGACGTCGCCAGGCCGGTTTCTGCGCCCTGAAGAGAGGCATCAGGAAAGCAACAACGAGCAGGCGTAGACTTCAAGGGGAGGGCAGGGCAGCTAGCAAGTGCGGAATCGAACAGCACTTCCGTGGCTTCCGAACCCCGTGAGGTTCATTGGTAAGGTACATAGCTTCAGCAAGCACTGCTTGCAAACACTGATTCTCAAAACAAGGCTTCTCTCAAGAACTCAACCTAAACAAAGACACCGGTTCACGTTACAAAAGACGACGTTCTTGCAGACAAAACCGTGGCATCTAGGTGCTTGCCGCGGTACCTGACGAGGCTTGCCTGCTTGTTCTGCGGATGGCGAGGACTATGGCCGTGAGAACGGTCTGAAACAGACACGCAGGGACTGGTCCCTGCGCCCGCGTCGCAGCACGGGTCTGATGATGAACGAGGATGGTGATGATGATGATGATGATGGATGAATGAAGATGATGAATGATGATGACGATGACGATGACGATGACGATGACGATGACGATGACGATGACGATGACGATGACGATGACGGTGGCGGTGGCGGTGGCGGTGGCGGTGGCAGTGGCGGTGGCGGTGGCGGTGGCGGTGGCGGTGGCGGTGGTGGTGACGGTGGTGGTGGTGGTGGTGGTGGTGGTGGTGGTGGTGGTGGTGGTGGTGGTGGTGGTGGTGGGTGGGTGGTGGTGGTGGTGGTGGTTGTGGTGGTGGTGGTTG